CAGAGTATTACCAACACCATAAAAGCCCCACTGATGGTTACTTCCGGCCACTCCCTGTGCCTAAGCATGAGCACTATCCTGACCTCTGACCATAGAGATGTTTTGCTTGGTTTTAGTTTTGTGGAAATGTACTTATGCGGTACACAGTCTTGTGTGTAGCATTTTTGCTCAGCAATGTGCTTTTGGGAAGGATCCATATTCTTCTGTGCTAATGATTCTTACACTGCTTAGAATTCCATTATGTGAATAATTCAATTTATTATCATTCTGTCTTTGAATGTGTATTTTGTCTGTTTTTTTGTGCAGCTTCGGACAAGCAGACTCTGTTGCCAAATGAACAGCTCTACCAGGTAAAGTGCCAGGGATGAGGACAAACAGTGCTACATTTGATTGGGGTGGACCTTCAGGATTGGGGGCAAGCTCTTTGGAAGCTACTGTAGGGATAAAGAGCTACTTATGGCATGCCCCATAATGGAATGGTTGCTGTGTTGGATAGCATGGAAAACATAAAGAAAAAGACTAAGATAGACCAAGGTAAGGATCTGGTCAGAAAAAGCTGAAAAACACACTGACCGAGACACAGGAAGAAACTCCACAGGGACTCTTCGTCTCCTCATTCTCTTTTGGCTCCTAGAGCTGTGAAGCACTGAAGTTCTGTTCATAAAAACAGCCAATGAATGTGCTTCATGTTAATTAATAAAAGACAGAAACGTGAGTTGATGATGCTGTCCTCTTCAGCCCCTCAAGGATCGGGATGATGACCAATACAGCCATCTCCAAGGAAATCAACGGAGGAAGAAGTGAGCTCAACATGAACCAAGTAGGTGGGTTCCTCACCATTCATCCTGGGGCCATGCCTCTGCATGGTCGGCATGCTTCCTAGCTGCTGCCAAATGCCTTTTTCCAATAAGGATGAGAAGTGGGGTGTGCATGGTTGACTATGGAGTCTCTTTTCTAAAGTCGCTAGTACCAGGACTGATTGACTGCATGGGTGCTATAAGCATCTGTAAATCCTCTGAGAGCAGAGCCTCAAGCCACAGAGATGCTGAATATTAATCTTAGCCTCATTAAGTTCTCTCAATAGCCACAGTTTTTCTTTGTGATGAGGGATTTTCTTTGTGATGAGCCATTACAGGAACATCCTTGGCCTCTATCTGCCTGGTGGCACTAGTATGCCCTCTCCCCCACCGTATGATGAGCAAAAATGTGTTAGACACTACCTAGTGTCCCCTCTAAGGCAAAATTGCCATTAAGATCCAAAGACCAGGGCTGGAGAGATGGCTCAGGGGTTAAGGGCACTGGCTGCTCTTCCAGAGGTCCTGAATTCAATTCCCAGCAACCACATGGTGGCTCACAACCATCTGTAATGAGATCTGGTGCCTTCTTCTGGTGTACAGGCATACTATATACATGATAAATAAATAAATATTT